CATGAAAATACCAAAAATCTCAACCACATGAAACCCTAGACTTCTCAAATCCTTAACAAAACACCAAACAAATAATGAAATGGTTTCAAGATAGTGTTGTACCTTTGCTTAATCTTTCAATTTCACCAAAAATCTTGTTAAATCTCCTTGATTTTGAGCTTTGAGGAGAATTCTATGTGAAAATCGCACCTTCTAGTGTGTGTGAAAGTTCTGGAGGTGTAAATACCATTAAAGAATGCTAATCTCGTTTTTTTGTACTAATTTGGTCAACAAGTGAACCTAGTTTGACACTGTTGGCAGATTTAGTCCCCCATGCGTATCTTGGTCGTTTCAACTCTGTTTTGCACAAAACTTTTCAGATCTCTAATTAATGTATAAGAAGCTTAAGTATAAAATTTCAGCCTCTAATTCAATCCAGAAGTCCATATTCCAATTTAACTTTGATATTTTTCACCTATTTACTACAAGAACATGGGTTCCCCTATAAAGCCTTATAGTGCACACTTAGAAATTTTTTTATGCACTTTTATCATTTTCACTTTTCAACTAACATAAGTAAGCACAAACCCATAATATACTTTATTGACTTAGTTAAACATGTTTAGCAACATAAATTGACTTTTAGAAAGTTGGATGTTACAAATACCTCCCCCTTTTGAAGATTTAGTCCCCGAAATCATGATTGCGGAATTAATCAAGGGTACTTAGCCTGTTAGACCCGATAATTCTTATGTGTAAAAGTAATGAAGAAAAACAAGTGATGAAGAATCAGAAGGCCGATGGAGGACTTCAAGGCAAAACAACTAAGTCTGAAGAACAACTAGAGGGTCGATGAACTAACCAGAGATGCGATGGAAAGAGCATCTTCATAGCCCCTCTGGTTACCAACACTTGGAGTTTTCTATAGTAGTTCAACCAGCGGCATGCGATGAAGATATGAAGATAAGGTTGAAATAACACTCCATGGAAGACAGTAGGAGATGACTAATCGACAGCTGGATTCTACAAAGTTTATCTTATTTTGATAGTTTAGATAAGCTTTATCTTTACTAGAAGATTAGCTAAATGTTCTCCTTAGATAGTTATCTTAAAATAGTTTTCTAGTATAAATAGGTGGTTAGGCCTATTGTAATGTGTGACTCTTTTAACACTTTTTACAATCATTGGAATAAAACACTTCTTAGTTTGTTCCTAAAACTTAAGATCTATATGGTATTTTATTAGGACATATAAGAATTTTTAGGTCTTCTAAGAACAAATTTTGTTGTAGTAATTTGATTTTAATACATCACATAACTGGGGGGAAAATTCCATATTCCCTATTAGGGACGGGGATGGGGACGAAGATTAGGGTTCGGGGATGGGGACGAAGATTAGGGTTCGGGGATGGGAATGTGGATTGAGGTTCCTGCCCCATTCCCATGCCTATGTAAGAATCAATCTGATAGAATTACTCAATGTTATAGAAATTTGCTCTCTATAATTCTATTCTTCTCAAGCTTGTAACTTTGTGGCATATGAATGTTAGGTCAAATATTATTTTATCCGAGATCACTAAGCTCAATGATTGAAGAGGTCAAAGCTTAAAGTCAACAAAAGTAAACATTGTGCCAAATTATAGTTTGACTTGTACTTTTAGTCAATTATATAAATAGCTTGTTAATGGTAATTTGTAAAAAGAATATGTGCGTACATTGAGAATCTAGTTTGAAGAGAGATATTGCAGACAAAGAAACATGTATTGAGAGTTTATCAAAATACAGAATGATTTGATCTCTACGTTGTTGTTCGTATTGTTTAATTCATTGTTATTTGATTGAAACTGAGTCTATCAATTGATATCAGAATAGAAATAGAAGGTTTGATGAAGACTTGAAGCAAAGATTGAAGAAAATTGAGGTTCTTGAAGTTTTTCAAAAATGGCGGATAGTGATATTCAAATTTGTGAGGTTTTTTTATGTCTTCGATGTAAATTGTTGATCAATTGATTCGTTTTTCATATTGAAATTGATTTGAATTGGTTTTGATCATCAATTTTATGGTTTGATTGTTCAATTTTATCAAATCAAAAAGTTTTGGGACGAACTGTTCTTGATTTTTTCTTCTTGATGATTTTGATCAAATTAGGTTATTTTGATTGAAATTTGATTTTTTTTCTTCATTAAATGTGTTTGTAATCACATATCATGCATTAATTGAAGGTTTTACCAAGGTTTATTAAGTTTTTGAGATAAATGGGTGTTTGGGATTGCTTATTTAAAACAACTTATGCTTTTTTTTTTTTATAAAAGTGCTTATTAACTTATGTGGTATCAAACCGGAGTTAAATAAAACAGGGTTAAAATTGTAAACTAGTGATACGTACTAAGTATTTAGTACGTAAAGTACCTTTTTATTCTTTTTTAGATAGGTTATTTTGCTTTCATATCCCAACTTTGAGTCATTTTATCTCTTTTCTCTATTTTTAAGCTGAAGTGAATGTTGAACCTGTGTTTAGTGGATTTTGGTCTAAATTGATCTTGTTTTGGACATATTGGAGCAAGCGGATGTTATGAAAATGTGGTAGCAAGACCTGATGACTAACAGGAAGATGGAAGAGACTTGAAGTAATTGACATGACCTTGGATGACTAATGAAAGCTTTCTAAAGCTGATTTAGCTGTATTTTGAACTGATTAGTTGATGTTTAACAAGACTTATATTAGTTCNACAGGAAGATGGAAGAGACTTGAAGTAATTGACATGACCTTGGATGACTAATGAAAGCTTTCTAAAGCTGATTTAGCTGTATTTTGAACTGATTAGTTGATGTTTAACAAGACTTATATTAGTTCCTTTCTAATTAGTAGTTTGTAATATGTAGTTTCTAGTTGCTTTTGGACTAGGAAGGGGTGAAAAGACTATTTTACCCCCTTATAATCCTTGGTATAAATAGGGGTTGTTGAGAGGAGTTTAGACATACCTCAACACCCAACTTTCACCACCTTCCTTCTTTCTCTCTATCTTTTGTTCTCTCTTCAAGTAGTTTGCATGCTACATGAAAAACAAATCTTAATATTATAAATCTTTTGGCATTTCTAGTTCCATTTATTTGCTTTATTTAATAGCTTTATTTATATTATCGTTACTTATATTCCGTCTTTAATTTATTTACGCTYACTTGCATTTTATTTCCGTCATTTATTTATTACGCTTTCCGCATCTTTATTATTCCATTATTTATATTCCGTCATTTTCTTTCCGCATTTATATTATGTCTTTATTTACCGCAATTTATATTTCTTGTTATTTACTTTTCGTCATGAGTAGCTAAGTTTATTAGCTCGGGTGAATGACGAAAAGGGTGAGTTTTTAAACCAAAATATAGTCGACCCTTTCATGTAACAACGATGTTTTACTTTTTCATTTCAAGTTTTTATAAAACCAATGACACTTCTTGACGGGTTGATCACTTTGAAAGTGTTAAAGTGCCTTTGACTCTATGCTGAGCCATCGTTTGTACGTCAACTTGGATGATATGGGAAGTAGACTTGAGAGAGTTGCTAACAAAGAGATTTGTTGTCCGTATTTTCTAAGTTGTTAATTCTCGACGGGTTGATCACTCTGAAGTGTTAAAGTGGAATGGATTCAGAGATGAACCATTCAGAACACGTCAACTTGAATGATATGGAATACACTCGAGAGGGTGATTTTTAGCAAAGAGATTTGTTTATCCATATACTTTGAAGACACCATTTGTCACTTTCACTGGTCTGGATACATCATAGAGATATGTGTTGAAAGCTATAATATCAGTGTCTTGGTGAAGTCCGAGAAGAATACCTTCAAAGTAATTGGTAAAAATAGTTGTTACTGATTGCATGTTGTAGCAATCTGTCAGCATGGTTTCATGCTGTAGCATTTTGACAGCATTGGTCGACTGGAAATAATTTTTACATCTCACCCGAAAAATCATACACCCTAGCTTGCTTTATATTCTGTTATCTTCTGTTTTTAGTTGTGTTTAACTCTGTTCAAATCAAAGTCTTCGAATTCGCCTTCTGAAATCATTTCCTTAACTTTACTTTCTTTAAACTTTTACTACGATCCCTGTGGACGATATCCGGTACTTGTACCACTTTTATTACTTGAAAAACGATATTGGGACTATTTGTATACTTGCTTTTAGTCCTGATTGTTGTTTGTGTCTGTGGTGTTTCACGGCACATCAAGTTTTTGGCGCCATTGCCGGGGATCAGTTAGTTGAAAGTTTTCTTTTTAGTAAAGTAAAAGATTTGATTTTTCTCGTCCCGTTTTTAAAATCGTTTTTAAAAGTGGTGTATGCCAAGAACACTTCGTGGTGAATTTTTCGAATTTGATCCAGACATTGAGAGAACGTTTCACCATAGAAGGAGGGCTCAGAGAGCATTTCAGGCTCTACTCCCTCCCAACATGGAGTTACCTGCTCCCAATAATCCGGAAGCACCAAATTTGGAAAACCAACCGCCAATTTTTGGGCAAATACCACCATTCCAGAATTTTCACCATGGAAACCCACATAATGAGAATGATAATAATTTGGATACAGAATAAGATCCTACTGAGTACCTAAGGGCACAAACTCCAAATATCATTAATCTGGCAAATTCCAAAAATGGAAGGATCATGGACTACGCTATCCCGGATTTTGAGCAATTAAATTCTGGGATAGTCAGACCACATATGACCGCTCTCCATTTCGAGCTTAAACCAATCATGTTTCACATGTTACAAACTAATGGCCAATTTGCTGGACTGCCCTCAGAGGACCCRCATTCTCATTTAAAGTCTTTCATGGAAATCACAGATGCCTTTCTGATCCCGGGATTGTCAAATGATGCTCTCAGACTTACTTTATTTCTATTTTCATTAAGGGATCGGGCAAAAGCTTGGTTTAATTCTTTAACACCAGGATCTGTGCCGTCATGGAACAATATGGCGGAATTTTTTTTGAGAAAATATTTCCCACCGACAAGGAACGCTATGTCCAGGAACGAAATATGTCTTTTTAAACAACTGGATAATGAAGTTGTTCCTGACGCGTGGGAGAAGTTTAAAGAGTTGTTAAGGAAATGCCCACACCATGGCATTCCGTACTGTATTCAACTCGAGACGTTTTACAATGGGTTAATTTCCATGGCAAAACAAATGCTCGATGCGACTGCGGGCGGATCCTTTACAGCTATGAATACATGATGTTGATGCATATACTACATTAACAACACAACTCTCTTCTATGGCTAATATGCTTAAAAATCTAACTTCGGGCCAAGGAGTGCAGTCAGCTGTTACATCACCTATTCCAGCTGCCCTCTCAGTGCAGTGTGTCTGTTGTGGAGGGGAATACTCCTATGAACTATGTCCACATAATACTGAATCTGTGAATTATGTTCATAATAGATCGAATCCCTACACTAACACATACAATGCCAGTTGGAGACAACACCCAAATGTTTCATGGAATAGTCCAAATTTGAACCCCTTGTCCATAAGCAGCAAGGAAACCCTAATTTTCAACAACATCAACATGCAAGCAGTTATAATTCTCAGAATCATCATCATCAGAATTTTCAAAATCATCAACTACCTTTTCAGACTAAACCACCCCCACAGTCCGATTCATCATCTTCCTTGGAAGCTATGATAAAAGGACTGGTGGCTCAGTCCCAAGCACAGCAACAAATGATGACTCAAAATCAATCTTTGTTCAATCAACAAAGTCCTGCCATCAGAAACCTGGAAACGCAAGTTAGCCAACTTGCTCTTAATCAGAAAATAGAGCCCTTTGAACTTTACCTAGCAACACCGAAGTCCCGAGAGATCTAGGAAAAGAACATGTGAAGGTAGTGACTTTTAGGAGTGGTAAGGAATTAACTAAGACCATACCAAAAGAAAATGAACAGGTTGTGTCTAAACCTGAGTCTACACCTATGGTCCCTGTTACTGAAAGTCCACCAAAACCTTTGGATAACCCACTTCCTGAGACCACCACCTTTGTTCCTCTTAAGTCGGATTACCCTTTGTTATTCCCTGAAGAAGTTGCTAGGAAAAAGCCAATTGAGGATGAGGTTATGACAGGTCCAAAAACCAAAGTTGTAATCCCATCTGAACCTCAAGAAAGTAAGACCAAGACTCTAGGCACTCTGGAWCCATCTTGCTCAGCACAACCAAACAAAGCCATCATAAAAMCAGTTCCTCTTTATGTTCCTTTTCCCCAAAGGTTAAGGAACCAAAAGGAAGAGCTGCAATTTAAGAAGTTTTTGGAAGTGTTTAAAGCATTGCACATCAACATACCCCTTGTTGAAGCAATTGAGCAAATGCCCAGCTATGCCAAGTTCCTTAAATATATTTTGAGTAAGAAGAAGAAGTTAACTGAATATGAGACTGTAGCTCTTACCGAGGGATGTAGTGCACTTCTAACCAACAAAATACCCCCTAAGCTTAAAGACCCAGGGAGTTTCACTATTCCTTGTTCTATAGGTGGAAATGAGATTGGTAAAGCTTTGTGTGATTTAGGAGCTAGTATCAACCTTATGCCCTTGTCTGTTTTCAACACCCTAGGCATAGGAGAAGCTAGACCTACCACTGTCACCTTGCAATTGGCCAATAGAAGCATAGCTTATCCCAAAGGTAAGATTGAGGATGTCTTAGTTTAGGTTGACAAATTCATTTTTCCGGCTGACTTTATTATCCAGGATTTTGAGGCTGATAAGGATATTCCCATAATCTTAGGAATTCCTTTCCTAGCCACTTGTGGAACTTTGATTGATGTCTAAAAAGGAGAGCTGACCATGAGACTCCAAGATCAGAAAATAACTTTCAATGTCTTTAATTCCTTAAAGTACCCTGATTACTTAGAGGAATGCTCAGGAATTACTGAGATTGAGACAATGTGTTATGAGGAAGGAGTTAGGAAGGCCTGTAAACTAGAGGAGGAGGATAGTGTTGAAGTAGGTGATGATACTGTTGAAGATTCAGAAAGTGATGTCCCATCTGATGCTGCAGCATTTGAGCTGTTGGACAATAGTGAGCTTAAGAATTTTACCCCGTCTGTAGTTTCACCACCTGATCTGGAGTTAAAGCAACTCCCATCTCACTTGAAGTATGCATATCTAGGAGAGGAAGGTAAATTACCTGTCATTATATCATCTACCCTAGATTTACATCAAGAAAAGAAGCTTATAGATATGTTGAAGTTGCACACCAAAGCCATAGGATGGACCATTGTTGACCTTAAGGGGATTAGTCCTTCTATATGTCAACATAAGATCATCCTAGATGAAAAGAACTTCAAATATATAGAGCCTCAAAGGAGATTGAACCCGGTCATGAAAGAAGTGGTGAAAAAGGAAATTTTGAAATGGCTAAACGCCGGAATAATTTTTCCAATAGCCGGTAGTTCCTGGGTTAGTCCAATCCAGTGTGTCCCAAAGAAGGGAGGGTTTACTGTTGTCACCAATGACAAAAATGAACTCATCCCTACAAGAATAGTGTCTGGTTGGAGGATATGTATGGACTACCGAAGGCTAAACAAAGCCACACAAAAGGACCATTTTCCCTTACCTTTTATTGATAAGATGTTAGACATGTTGGCTGGAAAAGAGTATTACTGCTTCTTGGATGGATACTCCGGATATAACCAAATAGCCATATCACCCGAGGATCAAGAAAAGACCACCTTCACATGTCCCTATGGTACTTTTGCATTTAAGAGAATGCCATTTGGACTCTGCAATGCTCCCGCAACTTTTCAAAGATGCATGATGTCCATATTCTCTGACATGCTTGAAAAATCCATAGAAATCTTTATGGATGATTTTTCAGTTTATGGCTCTTCTTTTGATGACTGTTTGGAAAATTTAAAAAGGAGTCTTGAAAGATGTGAAGAAACTGATATGGTTCTCAATTGGGAAAAGTGTCATTTCATGGTCAAAGAAGGAATTGTTTTGGGCCATTTGATTTCCAAAAGAGGAGTTGAGGTAGACAAAGCTAAACTTGAAATCATTGAAAAACTACCTGAACCAACTACTGTCAAAGGAATACAAAGTTTTCTTGGTCATGCTGGGTTTTACCGAAGGTTTATAAAAGACTTTTCAAAAATCTCAAAACCTTTGTGTTTACTTTTGCAACATGAACATAAATTTGATTTTACGGTGGAATGTAGAAATGCATTCAACACTTTAAAGAAAGCTTTAGTAACCACGCCAGTAGTTGTTGCTCCTGACTGGAACAAACCCTTTGAGATCATGTGTGATGCCAGTGACTGGGCTGTTGGAGCTGTCTTTGGTCAAAGAAAAGAAAAAGTTTTTCATTCAATCTATTATGCAAGTAAGACTTTGAATGAAGCACAACTTAACTACACAACAACTGAAAAAGAACTTTTAGCTGTGGTTTTTGCTTTTGAAAGATACAGATCATATTTGATGGGAACAAAGGTCATTGTTCACACTGACCATGCTGCCATCAGATACTTGATTTCCAAAAAAGATGCTAAACCTAGGTTGATAAGATGGGTTTTGTTGTTACAAGAGTTTAACCTTGAGATAGCGGATAGGAAAGGAGTTGACAACCAAGTTGCAGACCATTTGTCAAGATTAGAGAAGCCTAGGGAGATCCTAGGAGAAGGAGAGATAGTTGAAACATTCCCCGATGAAAGAATTCTTGTTTTAGAATCAAAGCCACCATGGTTTGCTGACATAGCAAATTTTTTGGCCTGTGGAATTAGACCTTATGATATTTCTGGCCATATGTTCAAAAAGTTTCTCCATGATACTAAAACTTACCTTTGGGATGACCCTTACTTGTTTAAGATAAGTGCAGATAAAATCTTGAAAAGGTGCATCCCTGAAACTGAAGTGGCAGCAATTCTGCAGCATTGCCACCAAGCAGCATATGGAGGACACTTTGGAGGCCAAAGAACAGCTGCTAAAGTTTTACAGTCTGGTTTTTGTTGTCCTACTCTCTTCAAAGATTCCCACAATTTTGCACAAAGATGCAATGAGTGTCAAAGAAGTGGATCCATTTCCAAAGGGAATGAAATGCCACTTAATGGGATCTTAGAAGTAGAGTTGTTTGATGTATGGGGGATAGACTTCATGGGACCATTTCCCCCATCAAATAATTGTCAATACATCCTAGTAGCTGTTGATTATGTTTCTAAATAGGTAGAGACTATGGCTTGTGTTACTAATGATGCAAGAACTGTGGTTAAATTTCTTCAGAAACAGATTTTTACAAGGTTTGGTACCCCATGAGCACTGATTAGTGATGAGGGTACCCATTTTGTAAATAACCTGTTGAGTGGAGTTCTTGAAAAGTACAACATTAACCATAGAATAGCAAATGCCTAYCACCCACAAACCAATGGATTAGCTGAACTCTCAAACCGTGAAATAAAAGGAATTTTAGAAAAGGTTGTCAAGCCAAACCGAAAGGATTGGGCTTTCAAATTAAATGACGTTTTATGGGCCTACCGGACTGCTTTTAAAACACCCATTGGTATGTCCCCATATAAGCTTGTCTTTGGTAAAGCTTGTCACCTTCCCTTGGAACTAGAACACAAAGCATATTGGGCCATCAAAGAATTAAATATGTGCCCAGATATGGCTGCCAGTAAAAGAAAAGTCCAGTCGTGTGAATTAGAGGAACATAGGAATCTGTCCTATGAAAATGCCAAGATTTATAAAGATAAAACCAAAAAATGGCATGATAAAAGAATTCAACACCGGGAGTTGAGAGCCAGTCAGAAAGCTCTTTTGTTCAATTCTAGGTTGAAACTGTTCCCGGGAAATTTCAAGTCACGTTGGTCTGGACCTTTCCTCATTCATAAAGTTCATCCGTACGGAGCAGTTGACCTAATCAATCCCGAGGACAATTCTGTGTTCAAAGTTAACGGTCAAAGAATGAAGTTATTTCATGATCCGGTAGAAATTCCAGAGTTAAGCTTTGTGAATTTTGTTACCCTTTGCTAAAAGCTTCGATAATTTTTTTTGGACTTTTTATAAGTCCAAAAATTTGTGTTTGTAAATATTCAAATTTATTTATGTTTTATAATTATATCAGTAATAATATTGGCGTTTATTTTTGTGTG